CTCCCTGGTTTGTCTGGGTGAATGCGCGTCATTGGATCCTCAGGGTCTGGATCATTTTGGGCTACTAGTCAATTAAAATCTGGTAAGTTTGTCTCAACTTCCATCGTCTCCTTTCTCTTCCACTTCTAACTAGGTCTTTCTTATTGTTCTCTTTTAACAGTTTTTTTTTCCAGACGAGAACTGTGATCATCCATGTGGTGGGAACTCCAACTCAATCTTCCTCTCCCCTACGTTACACTGCGGCTGTGTGGAATGACAGAAGACACTCGGTTACGCCCTTCTCTCATCCCGAAGTCACAGCAAACACCTCCAATTACAGCTGCTTAGTTTTCTGTCGATGCAGTCGGATGGCTGCCTCGGCAGAGGAACTGACGGCTCTGGGTGAGTGCTGTTTCTCACTTTCTTCCCACCTCATCCACCCATCTATCCCATCTACTAGGTTTTCATGGCTGTATTCATTTGTATTCGGTTTCTTTTCCTTTATCCCGTTTGGCGACCAACACCGAAACTGCGCTCTCGGAACGTGGTAGGCACGAAATTGTAGACGAGATGGTGAGTGGAGAGAGAATCCGCCACCTCGGTTCGTCTTTACCCCACTTTCCCACTGGACACTTTATATTCCATGTGATTTTCTTCTTCCTTCTAGAGCTCCATTCAAATGCATGCGTGTGTGTGTGTTTACTTCTTGATATTTGAATAAACTATATGCCTATGCCACTTTGGCGACTGTCAGCCTTGTGGGAGATGGTAGGGTATGGCGTGTTGCTCTGTCTTTCATATGCTGCAGTAGCTTCATTCCAATGTGCTGTTTTTGACTTGTATGGTGTGCCTATTGTTTTCGCGAGAGTATGTGGTGTCAATTATGGCTGCAGTTGGCTTCTGAGTTGACCATGTAACATGTAGTAATGGTGGAGGTGATGGCCATTCGTGAGTTAATGTGTGTGTGAGAGAAGGCGGTCTTGTTAGGGTATTGTATGGCAGCTACCCTTGAAGTGGTTTGATAGACTAGTGGCTGCAGTAAGGGTGAGAGGGGGTTTGTCGACCTGGGGGTGTGTAGAGTAAGAGATATTCTGTGCAGTTGGAGGTGGAATTGATAATTCTAGGGTGCCGGTAGGTGTTGGAATGCGTCAGTTGGGTATTGGAGGAGTTGGTGTAATAGAAGCATGGAATCACCTGGAGACTAACTAGCTGGCTGACTTTCATCCAAGACTGGTAGCGAATGCATCAACCGCGTACCCACATCCCTGTCATTGTCGTGGATGTAACCAGCCTCACACGATGAGCACTTTCGTGGTCGGCCGTGCTTCCATCTCCATCACCTCCGTTAACCACGACATTTGATTGGCGCAAGTGACTTGCCATTGTGTCCGCTGCGACCTAGACTGAGACCTGCGAGTTGCCTTACATATGACAGCCGATGATGCCTGGATGAGACCCCTTTATCAAATCGGCATTCAGTCAGTGGTTGCTCAGAATTTCATAATGATAGACCCATCACATGTTTGGGAGTCAATTCCACATAACGTGGATATGAACAGTGCAGTTTCACTCTTTCATAGGGACGCACTACTCAGTACTCAGCACAACTGGAATGAGAGGATGTTTGCTTATGCAATATAAGGATCAAAGAATTGCTGGCACAAAGGATTGCTTTAATCAAACATTCAGTGGTGGATAAAACAGTAGTGGTAGTCATAAGTGTCGTCTCCAGAGTCGGTGAGTATGTAACAAAGTAATCACCACCACGGATAGAGGAGGACATCCATCCCTCAACAGACGACACTACCACTACCCCTAAAATGCAGACTACTTTGACACAAATCTCCACTCCTTCTATACATCCCCATTAACACTTCTGCATGGCAATCGCTTTCACAATGTTCACCAGTTATGCCGCTGTAGTCTCCAACTGCGACCTATCACACTACCAGGTTTGGGTTTTTTGGCTGGTAAAGGCAACCGGAAATGTAACTTATTTGCATAATGCTCATCAATTCGCCTACCTGCCCACAAATCCATCTGCCCTTTTAACCACACACTTCTATCAAGAATACGATGTAGCATCTGGGTCAGCACTAAAGACTTTCCAATTCATGCCAGAGCTGATTAGGATTTGACCGTGAGTGGTTGCAGACATTGGCCTGGATAGGACCTCATTATCAAATCGACATTTAGTCGGTGGTTGTTCAGAATTCCCATTACATGTATGGCTTTATCATTGTCTGAACGATGGATTATTCAACACTTTTCCTGCATCTTCTATAACTTCCTGGTCCAATCCAAGCTAGATGATTAGTCGGATTTCGTTTCGTAGTGGTGGGGAGGCTGCTGTAAATTACTTCAAAGGGCTCACTCACTGCTCACTAAGACTAGTGTATTCGCCAAGTTCTTATTAAAAGGCAACACAACCATTTTGCCGATCATGTGACAAGGTGCTCTTGCTTACTCAAGGAGTGTATTTTTAACATCAATAACATGTAGGTCGCCAAAATAGAAGGTGCCACAAAGCAGCTCAGACAGATGTTTACGTGGAAGAAGAGAGCCCTATGGAAACATCTGATATGAAGCTTATTAGATTGCAGAAAATGCTCAATTTCATCCCTCATAGAAGTGGGTTAATTTTGAGGAAGAAGAATGGGAAGGAACCAACTCAATCCATGAAATAGCTGAAATTCCTGATGAACGCCCGTGGGAATGGGACAAGAGGAAGCAGAACGTAAGGAGCTACTGAAAGAAGGGAGCAAAGAGCAGGATGGAGAATGAAGTGAAGAATGAGGAGACACGTGCAGTAAATGATGATAAGCTTGATGGGAAAGCAAAGCAAATAGGAGGGGCGTTTTGCTGGAGTCGAGACGTCCTCACTACCTCTCGTCATATTGGATGCTGGTAGTGGCAATTTCGTCTGTCATCGTGCATTGGCTGCATTCTGCGCCGACGCCTATCGTACCTTCGTCCTGGTTCAGAAGATAGGGCAACTGGGATCGCTTGCTCTGTAGTG